TTCCTAAGTAACTAAGATTGGGAATTTGCAAAACATTTAGTTACTTTGTATTTCATTATACTTATAATGGAAGGTTTCGTCCCATCCTACCCGTTTGGCTAACGACCCTCCACTAGTCAAGAGTGCGGTGGGTAAGAGTGGATACCCATTCAATCGCCATATTATAGGCAATTTCCTTAAACACCCCTTATAGACCAGCTTCGTGAATGAGGCCTACTAACGGTAAGACTGACTTTTACTCATACATATATATAATGTTAGACTTTTAATGTTATATATATATATATATATATATATATATATATATATATATATATATATATATATATATATATATATATAGGGTGCATTTCATACTTTTAAAATACTATGTGGTCAAATTTAATAATTATACCTTTAATTCAATAAAATTGCAAACCAAAACTTTTATGGATTTATTAAATCTCTTTTAAGTATACACCTTAATTAATTAATAAAACCATAAGGGTGTGATTTGAACTTTTCAAAACAATACTAGGGTTTTAGAATTTAACACTCCTAATTAAACCTTTTTACTCAACTTCAAAATTCCAAAACTTGAGGGCAAGTTTTGAAACATTTCAAAACAATTTAGTTTTAATCTATCTTAAAATTTCAAATTTATGACATTTAAATTAAAATTTTAAATATTAAAACTCTTGATTTAATAATTATCTTGAATTAGACTATTAATTTAATTATTAAATCATAAGGGATTATCTAAATAATGAGGATAATTACCATTTATACATTTAATTTATCCTAATCCCTTAAATATCTATATAGATTTCGAAAATATAGATGGATAATGCAAGATCTTGAATTACCATATATAACAATTAAAGGATAATTACAAGATATGAGATAATCCAAATCCCTAAAAATTAGGATCTTATCTTGGGGAGGAGGCAAATTTCGAAAATCAAGAGATTATAACAAACCCTAGATTTCGAAATTTAAGGGTTTAAGGAAAGGATTTGAAGATCTTATTCAAACTCTTGCAAATTAGGGTTTGCAAACTCTAATCTCAAAAAACCCTAGCCTCCTAGGGTTTATTGGCAATAAACCCTAATATATCAAGTTCATACAATTGAAACCAAACCAATGGCTCTGATACCACTGATGGGTTTTTGTCATAAGACATCCTATGTGCTCATACAAACCCTAATGCTTGGATCTAGGTTTCTCTATTGTACATGCTTTGAATCCAAGACTATAAACCCTAATTCTAGCATGAAAGTAATCACATTAACATAAGAATGAGTTTATAATGTCACCTTGATTGTTATGTAGCAATAGCAATCCCAATCCCACCTTGAATTGACTTTGGAAGGCTTAGATTCACAAGTGTCACTCCTCTAATGGCTTACAAATTAACACCAAGAGCAAATGGAGAAGGTATAAAGAGAGAGGAGAGAGGTTAGAATTCGTCCTTAGGACTCCTTGGGAACAAGTACACGAATTCTAAGGCCTTAGGGTCTTTATATAGGTGTAGAGATAGGGTTTCAGTCATTATCCTTATCTAGTTGCTTATCCACAAAGCAACCATAAGATAAGCCTTGAAAACCCTTATCCTTTATCCTTTGGACGATTTCAAGGATCCTTATCTCCTTGAATTCGTTCAACCCATATTTAGGATAACCATTATCATATTTTGTAACTATCACATAATTACAATTCAGCCCCTCTAGTTTAATTAATTACACTTGATCAAAAAATTAATTCCTAATTAATTATTGACCAATATTAATTAAGCAAATATGATTTCTCCTTTAATATATTATTCTTATAACATATTAATAAATCATAATAACCTCTCTCTCTCTCTCTCTTTATTTATTTCTCCAATCAAGTTGCTTTGGTGAAGGCAACCCAAAAGGACCATGCACCATCGGGTCAAGTACATACCAAAATAGTTATGGACTTAGACACTAATCCAACAGTCCCATGAACTCCAAGTCTAAAATCATGTCCAATGCATTGGGTAACTCTTCATGTTCGGTTACAACCCTTCTAACACTCAACTGGGTTCCTTTGACCCTCAACAGATATGGGGCTCAAAGCCTCGGACTCATCGAGTCCAAGAATGGACTCGCCGAGTCGGTCACATCCACACTCTAAATCCTCGATTTCTGATGTACAACCTTTGATCAAAAGATAGATCCAAGCTTCTATAATTGATCTAGCACGTAAAGTTACAAACTTTACGTGCTTGCATGGGACTTTGAGCTCAAAAAGACATAAAACAAGCTCTTAAGATGCATGAGGCCTTTCATGGGTGCAAAAGCAACTCAAATTTGCCTAGTGAACCCTTTAATGATGTGATTCAGAAGCTTTAACCCCCAACCATGTTTGCAAACATGGTTGGCCACCAAAAATGGCTTATAAAAGCCCTAAATCTCCCCAAAGAGGGATCTAACAAATGAGTGAGCAAGGTTACAACTTTTTACCTTCAACGAGCTGTAGAAGGTGCACAAACTCGGGTTCCCTTGGTCTCTACTTGTTTCCTCAAGCTTTTCTCCTTCCTTCTTAAGACCACAAGCACCAAAATCCACCAACAAGGCTTAGATTGCTTCAATAACGGCTAGGGTTTCAATGAGAGGTGTTTTGGGAGCATATGGGACGTTTTGGTCGACATAACATTGTTTAAATATGGTGCAAACCCTTGGATTAGGGTTTTTGTCCAGACAGCGTCTACTCGTCGAATCCGGGACCCGACTCATCGAGTTCATCGCTTAAATCCCGCGTCCCATCCCACTTCTACTCGGCAAGTTGGTCCTTCAACTCGCCGAGTTCAAGGCCAAAAATGCAAAAAAACTTAAATAAAATAAAAAGAAATACGTACCAAGAACCACGTGCTACAGACATCTAGCTTTTTAGCCTACTATTTTGTCGAGGAATTTAACAATCTTAACATTTTGGCTTGGTGGAGATAAAGGGAACCACAATTCTGATTCTAGTCCCCATCGTTTGTGATTTACTAACCGTCAAAGCTTCCACGATAGCTTCAGAATTTGTTTTTTCTGTTAGTGGAAGAGTCATTTTAGAACGAAGGTCATGATTCACCGTCTAATCGATGGAAATATGTGTTTTATTGAAGGATTACTTGATCGGCGTTGAGATGTCACGCTTAAAAGACCATTTTTACCACCTATCGAAGATTTCACATAAGAGGTTGCACAGTAGATATCACCTCCAATGACCGAAGTAGATGAGGTTGAAGTTGAGTGTTTGTCGTACTAAAAATGTTCAATTAGGCTACAAATTTTAAACTATAATTGCTAGTATATTTTGCTTTGAACTTTATGTTTTAATGTAATTCAAAGTTCGAATTATGTTTTCTTATATTTGGTCAAATAAATATTAATATAATTATTTATTTGGTTGAAGTAAAATTTGACTAAAAGGGTTTTTTATCGGTTAATCCGAAACTATTTTTTTTTTTTAAAAAACCAATTTATCCTTATCTGTTAGACTAGTAGCTGACAATGGATCGATATGTGTTTGGTTCAGATTCAACTAATTTATTAATTGGGTTGAAAAATTCATTATAACCTAACATTTTTATTTAAATGGACCCAACCTTTATCCAACCCAGCTCAACATTTTAGATAAATTGGTTGTTACCGGGTTGATCCGTTTATGTAATTCTCAACACAACCTATTAAATAAATGGATTAAACCTGGATTAACCTATTTAAAATAAAAATATAAATAAATTAAATAAATACTACACCACTTAAATTAGTTTAAAACTTAAATTAACTTTCAATGTATAATAAAAGCACAACCTTGGTTCACAAATATAAAGAAATTATTCAATAATATTAAATATGTGTAATTTTGAAATGATTTTCAAGATTGATTGGTGTTGTCGAGATTGAGAAAAAAGATAATGATTATGATTGTATTTTTTAAAACATAAATAATAATATAACATTGTAATTTATAAATTAATACTTAGATTAATACATGATAATATTAAAGTAATTATTACATTAAATATATATTAAAGTTAAATGAGTTGGTAGGTTAAAAACGAGTTGACAACATGTATCTAACCCAACATATTTAATTAAATGAATTAAACGGGTTGACTCATTTATTTTAAATGGGTTGAAAAGCTTAACCCAACCTGGTAATTTTGGATTTTGTTTGGGTTGGATTGATGTGTTCTTGATTTTTGTGGTTCTGCTTTTGAAACCAAAACAATCGATAAAAACCGGTTATGTTTTAACGGAAACCTATATAAAAACACGTGATTAAAAACCAAACCAGTTTTTTAAGAAAACAAAATAATAATTTCGGTTTTAACCATAAAATGAATGCATTATTTTATGTGTGTTCAAGAAGGCCTTCAATCCATGAACGAACCAGATGGTTTCCTGAATCCTAACTTCCTCCCTAAGTTTGGGCCGGTTATGGCCAATTGGGTTGCGTGGTGGATTGCTTCTTTGACGGACCCATGTCTGTGAGCGTCAGTACTAAACTAATCTCCAAAAAAAAGTGTATAAGAAATTCAAAACTAACTCAATTCATTGCCGAAAACACACGCGAGTGTGGTTTTTTTTTTTGTTTTTTTTTTTTTTAAATTTTTTAATTTAGAGCATTTTGTTTAAGTTAAAAACTAAAAGTCTACGTCGCTAAGTTTTCTTAAAAGTTAGAAGTCAAAAACTCCCGAATGATGCGTGCCGAACACACCCAAAACAAAAAAATGGTTTTGTTGCATACATAAATTTATCACTTGATTATTATGTAAGATGTTTATTTCTATATTAGCGTATCTTCCCTTATTTTATAATTATTTTATATTATTAAAAAGAAATTAAATATCATCTTATTTTTTATTTCTATAAATTTTTATACCAAGTTAAATGGTGATTTATGTAACATTTAATGCTTATTTAATAAAATTTAGTTATATTTTAATATATTAATAATTGAATTGGTAGGATGATTGATAGGAAATAAAAAAAATAGAACCACATTTGATTTCTGATTGTTAAACTTGTAAAATTATCACTTCAGCAGCTATGTGTCATGCACTCATGCCACATTTATTTTAGTATATTTCATGGAAGAAAGCTTGTAGTATATTTCTTGAACCAACTAAACTTGAAATTACTTTTATTGAAAAATCTTTTCATTTTCATTTATCACACATGCAAACAGTTTATCATCTCGTGGATGCAAACGGCTTCTTATACGTTTGCAACAACAACGAAGAACAAACCACACTCACAGAAGAAGCAGCCATACAAGCTCCGGCCAACCACGGCGGTAACCTAATTCCGATGAACGGAAACAAAATCCCAGCCGCCACCGGCACACCAAGAACATTATACCCAAGCGCCCACACATAATTAAGCCGGATTCTCGAAATCGTCCTTTTAGACAAATCAATCGCTGTAATCACATCCTCTAAGTTACTCTTAATCAACACAATATCCGCCGCCTCAATCGCCACATCTGTTCCGGCACCAATCGCCATTCCGACGTCCGCTGCAACGAGCGCCGGCGAATCGTTGATCCCATCTCCGACCATTGCAACGACCATCCCTTTCGCCTGTAAGTCTTTGATTCTATCGGCTTTCCCCAACGGATCTGTTTCCGCAAACACATTTTCTATTCCGACCTCCTTGGCTATGGCGGTTGCTGTTGACCAGTTATCACCGGTGACCATTATGCTTCTGATACTCATCGATCGTAAAAAGGATACAACACGTGCCGCCTCGGGTTTCACCGGATCTGTGACTGCAACAGCGCCGACGACTTTTCCGTCGATTGCGAGGAGCACACAGGTGCGAGCTAGGTTTTCGTTGTCGGAGAAATAGGTTTCGACCTCAGAGCTGAGGGAAACATTGAAGGATCTCATGAGCTTCTTGTTTCCGACTAAAACTGTTTTGGATCCGACTTTGCAACCAACTCCGGCGCCGGGATGCACCTCGAAGTCCTTCACCACTGCACTGTTGGTAGTTTGAGATTTGTGATTTTGTAATCTGTTTTTGGCGTGTTTCACTACTGCTTTTGCTATCGGGTGTTCACTATTTGCCTAAAAACAAACCAAACATATATCAAATTTAGGGTTGTTTTAAAGTTTTTTATCGAAAAATATAAAAGATAAAAGATGTTTTAAAAACTACTTTTGGATATTAGATAGAAAAAATTAGGAAAATCTGATTTTTTGTAACTTTTTCAAAAAAAAACTTTTGTCTATCAAAAAAACAAGCGACACACCCCCTTAGATTCCAAGATATATAGACTATGTGTGTCTTTAGTTGATATCACATTTTCTGTGTCTAGCTGATGTGAGACTAACATATATGAATCGAAGGTTAGAAAGTAGAAAGGTAAGTAGACCTCTACGGCAATTGCTGTGTTACAAAACTCCTCCATTGAGATTCTGGAAAAAAGTACTGCGCTAACAACTTCCGGCTTTCCAATTGTTAATGTTCCCGTTTTATCGAATACCACCGTGTTAACCTATAAAATCCAAATAATATTCTTTAAAATCAATGCAAAATCTTAAAAGATAATTGTTTGAATTTTGTTTATATTGGAGTTTTCAATTATAAAATAACTAAAAAATCCAATATAACAAACTCTTGTAATCGGTATAAGCATCAGTTGACCATATTTAAATATGATCAACTAATGCTGATGGAATACCTTGTGGGTTTTTTCTAATGCATTTCCGCCCTTGATAAGTACTCCTTGGGATGCGCCTTTACCAGTCGCAACCATAACAGCGGTAGGAGTAGCTAACCCTAAAGCACACGGGCATGCTACAACAAGAACCGATATCCCAAATTGTAATGCGAGCTCGAACTCGTCCATAGCTTTTGGTATCCAACTTTTAGGATAAATTCCAGCCACTCCCGGAATAAACCACCCCATCCATGTCACAACAGCTACCAAAACCACCTAAATTTTATAAAGTCATATTCATTAAAAACAAGATCTAAAATGAACTTAGGTTGACTCATATTAAGCATTAGATCGACAAAAAAAAAAAAAACTCACTGCCGGTACAAAAAACTTTGATATTTGATCAGCTAGTTTTTGTACGGGAGCTCGAGCAAGTTGCGCGGCTTCTACTATCTGAACAATTTGTGAAAGTGCAGTCTCGGAACCAACATGAGTTGCCATTATTAACAAGCATCCGTTTTCATTCACAGTGCCACCGATAACCTGTTTACATTTTCAAGAATATGTCTCCAATTTCATAAAAATATGTCCACACGTTTTTAGGGCTTATGTCATATTTAAGCAATGAAGTTTGTCTCATTTACCCATTAAGTCTTAATACACACAAGTTTGTTTAATGATTCGGTTTCACGTAAGCCCCTAAATTTAGTGGTAAAGTAATTTTCATTAGAATTTTCAAACTAACGTATCTTTGACATGCCATAATCATTTTATTTTTCGAACCAAAAAATAGTTTATAAGTTAATTTTTTATAAAACTACTTAGACTAATGTTTCATGAAGCTTTTTTTAAATTACTTAAAACATACTATATATCATTTATTAATTATAAAAAAACACAATCTTTTACATAAACTTTTATGTAATTTTACATATTCCAGTTAGATTATCAACTAGTTTTAGTTCTATCAGATGTCAACTTTTATCAGTAAGAATTCGCTTTTCGGTTAGCTCATCAAACATAGACTAAATGAGTAATTAGGACAGATTGTGTTGGGAAAATATAACGCAAACTTTCTTTTTTATAAAAAATTAAAAAAAAAAAAATCATATACCCGATCGCCTGGATTTTTAACTACCGGGATTGCTTCTCCGGTGATCATACTTTCATTCACATACCCTTGACCATTAATCACAATACCATCAACGGGAAACTTCGACCCAGGAAAAATCTTCAAAACATCATTTCTTTCAATCAACCGCGTGTTAATTTCTGTTTCCGAAAGAATGTTTCCCTCATTGTTCATTGTCAATAACCAAGCGGTATCTGGGGCTAAATCGGTCAATTTAGCTAAAGCGGCTGATGTTTTTCCTTTCGCGGTGGATTCTAAGTATTTACCTAGAAGAATAAATGATATTAACATGGTACTTGTTTCAAAGAAATCTTGTCCTTCAAATTTGTCTGAAAAGAGTGCTTTTATTATTGTGTATATAGAATAAAAGTACGCAGCATTTGTCCCAAGTGCAACAAGAACATCCATGTTAGCCGATTTTCGTCTTAATGCGTGATAAGATCCCACATAAAACCTGAAGATTTAATCAAAAATTGTTTTAAGAAACAATAATTATAAAAGTAGTTTTTTTTCAAACAATTGTCAAAGTTAAGAAAAATATTGTGGAGCTTCTTCATCTTCACTTCTTTTTTCAAAATGTACTTTTTATTAATTTCAAATAAAAATGATTGGCCGTTTAGAAAATGTTTTTAATTTTGTTTAATATTACGTGTAAAATATTCTACAACCTATAAGATGCATTATTTTTTTAATTTCACAAAATATAAGTTAGAAAAGGTTAAAACTTTGGAAACATTTAGGAATATATAAATATTATAAACTATAAACTACATTATAATGACCAATATATATTTTCTTTTCTATATTTTGTTATCTAACTTTACTTCTTATTTTCATTTTAGAAAAATGATACAAACTGAAATTGGTAAGACCTAAAAAATGAGCTTTTAAGATTTGTGAAAAAGCTTTACTATAGTGGAGTTATCTACTTATCTTGAACTTTTTGTTTTTGTTTTATTGTAATTTAAAAAGGCATAGAATTATGGATATTATAAATATGCTTAAAATAAGAAAGAGAAATTAAATTAAATCTTTGTTACCTTCGACCAATGAAGAACTGGACAGGTGTACATAAGATCCATCTTAAAACCATTCCAATCGTAAGCATGTTATGAATCTTGTAACTCAACCAATTCCCATATGGTGGAATCATCGGAAGCACCATAGAGAAGATAAAAACAGGAATCGAAAAAAAGCAACTCCAGAAAAACAGATTTCTGTAAACTTTAATTTCATGGTTTCTTTCTGTATCACGTTTTCTTTCAGGAATATATAAGCTTGCTTGATAATTAGCCGATATGAATGACATAATTGACCTTGGACCAGTGAAATTTGGATCATAACCAATAATCAATCTGCATTCTTCTGTGTTTGTTTCAACATGATTGACACCATTCAACGATTCTACAGATTGTTTGATGGAAGCCATGTCTTGTGGAGATATGAAATTGATACCTTCGAGTTTTATATGAACTTTATTTGCATCAATTTCAGGTCCTATAAGATCGGCTTCAAATCCTGCATCTACAACTGCTTCAATGATTTGATTTGTGTTGGTGATGTTTGGATCGTAGTTTATCTTTGCTTCTTCAAGAGCTAAACCCACAACTGCTTTTTTTACTCCTTCAACGATTAAAAGAGAGGATTCAATCGATTCAGAACAACTTGTGCATGACATTCCCTTGATTTTAAGTCGGCATACTGCTATGTCTTGCTCTAGAAACTCAGCGATTTGAAAACCTGCAACTTTCATGGCTTCTTTGACTGTTTCTCCCTGAATAACGAATTAAAATCAGAAAATACATATACGACATAAATCAATTTAAGCGGGAATAGTTCATTGTGACTTACATTAGATTGTTGCAGAAATGGTATGATTAGATCTTCGTTCGCATTACCCTCCATTTCTGCAATGCAAAATTTGAATCGATAACTATGAACAACACATGTTTTTGAGCTAATAACGAGTTTCAAATCTGTCATTGTTTACTATGACTTCGTATTCCTTATATACATGCATCGATCAACATATATTTTGAAACCCTAACTATTATGAACACGACGATTATTCAATCTGCTGAAAGCACACGCCACACTACTCTGATTACTTGTTGTAGCTAAATAAAACTAACTAACTAACGAAAAATCTATTCTTTCATGGCTAAAATTACGGAAATGGATGAATTGAAAAAACACGATTGAAAACATTCGGAGATCTAGTTGCTAAAGTGGCTCGGTTGAAGCTTCTACGATAAAATAAAGGAGTATAGAACATAATCTTTAAATATATGGACATGGGCAACGGTTTACCTATTCCGGAAGTAGATGATTAGGGTTTTGCGAGATGATTAGTGCAGATGTTTGGAGTTGGAGAATTCAAAATTTCTGTTTATGAAAGGAGATATATATAGCTGAGGGGAGAGTATAAAATATGTTTGTTCAAAAAGACCGCGCAAGTGTTTTGGGTAAACCTAGGAATTTAATATATATATATATATATATATATATATATATATATATATATATATATATATATATATATATATATATATATATATATATATATATATATACCAGCCGTCTACCCGTGCAAAGCGGCGGACGACGAATAATTTGACCTCTTTAGAGTGAAAACCATTTTGCGTTTACTTCGAGAAATGAATATTAAATGATATTTATTTTTCAAGAGCATTACCATACCATAATAGGTTTTTTAAAACAATTTATTAGGTTACACATCACTATAAGTTAAATAAGTGTTTGGATTAAAATAACTTATTTAAAACAACTTATTAGGTTCCACATCACTATAAGGTGCTGTTTGTTTTTCTAAAAAAAACCTCTTCAAACCACTTATTGCTGCGCGGCGCAGCACACGCGCAGCACTTTCCCTCTCGCAGCAGTTTGTTTTTTGGAAGACTTCAGACTACAAAACCTCTGCGCGTGTGCTGCGTGGCGCAGCACTTGACTTGCCTCTTCTAACCTCTTCAGCTTTCATTTTTTCTAAATGTTTTTTTAAGAATTTTTGTATAACTTTTTTTTTAATTTCTTTTTTTTTTTTTAAACTTTGATTTTCTTAAATTTTTATTTACGGATGTGATACAATTTATTTTTATAATTTCCACGATTTTTTTAATTTGTTTTTTTTTTACCGTTTTATTAATAATATTTTCAATTTCAGTTATATTTTTTTTAATGTGTGTAATTTTTTACGAACTTTGTAGACAACGTTTGCAATACTTTCTTAAATTTTTTATTATTTTCTTTTTTAATGCTTTTTTTAAATTAGTTTTTTTTTCTAGAATAAAACTATTAGCTTCTTTTACATTTTTTAATGTTTTTTTTTAAAAAAGTTTTATATTTTTGTTTTTTACATGTTTATGTTATTATTATTTCAATGTTTTAAGACTAGAATTATTAAGTTATAAAATTAGTTTATTTAAATTTTAGTTTACCGCAGCAGTCTGCAGATGTTAAAAAACAAACATGCTTCTTATTATAGGCTGCAGCCGTTTGTTCCACCTCTTCTGCTACAGAGGATTGCAGAGGTGGTCTGCAGACTTCATGAATTTTCGCTTCGAAAAAACAAACAGCACCTAAGTGTCTGGCTAACCTTTTTTAAAACAACTTATTAGGTTCCACATCACTATAAGTTAAAACAACAATTATTTTTCAAGAGCATTACCATATCATTTTAGAGTGTCTGGCTAAGCTTTTTTAAAACAATTTATTAGGTTCCACATCAATATAAGTTAAAAAAGTGTTTGGATTAAAATAACTTATTCCGGTGGGGAACTTCTAATACGTCATTTTTTCATAAGTTACCTTACACTTACTTATTAACTTATAAGCTAATAAACTAATAAGCAATAAGCTTTTTTTGCCAAACACCCCCTAAATGGTTATTACTTCCATTTATACATACCCAAACCACTTGTACTGTTTATTGTCCTCTTCTTTTTTTTTCCCGTTTTCCTTAATTCCTTTATTAATTTAATGTCCTACTAAGTAAAATGCTAAAATATATAAATAATAGTTTATAAAAATAAACCTTTAGAATATCAGGTGTTGTGATTCAAAAGTCGATAAATAGGCCTTTGAGAAGGCCACAATATTCAGGTGTCAACTTGTTCATTGTGATTTTAAATTAAGTTTGGTCACAAATTAAAACATTTTCAACGATGGTATGTAATTCAAGGATTCATATTGATTTAGGTTCTCGAAACCTTAAAATATTGAACAAAATATATATAGAGAACCTTATAATAAAGACAATAATCACCGTAATCAGGAAGTCCATGTGATGAAACTTGATATTATAAGGACCAATGATGAAAAATGTTTCATTTTTAGACTAAATAAGATGAAAAATATACAAACTACCTTAATCATGTTAAATCTTGTGTTTAACCATTATTTATTGTAAAAGTAAGATGTTAAAATATACAAACTAATGATAATACAATGCTCTAACTGGCCCTCTTGGTTGAGTTCTTTGAACCTGTAAAGCCACCACATTAAAGAAACATAGTAAAAACCTTTTTAGGAACAAACCTGATATAATAAAACCTTCACCCAATATATTTATAAGATAAAAATACAAAAAGTTAAAAATGATGAAATCAATTACAAGAAAGGATTAAAATAAAAACCTGTTAAGAAAGAGCCATCTGCAGGAGGGATAATTGAATCAACATGTATTTTCTGATGGTTTCAAATTTTGAATTATCCGAAATTCGGGGAAGGAGATAGAATTTGTTGAGAAATATAAGGATTCAAAACACGTGTTAAAATTTAATAGTATTTTATTGATGACTACTTGTACTATTAGCTTAATGATTTGAACGTCTTAAAAAAATATTATTATTATATTCAATCTATTTTTAGAAATAGTGGGATTTCTTTTATAAGATAGTAAAGATATATATATATATATATTAGTAGCGTACTTGCATGATGCGTTGGGCGGCAAATAGTTTCATTCCAACGATTAATTAGATTTTTCTGGCCAACGGATTGTTTGTCTTCGATCTATTTCGGGCATCTCGATCGTTGATCGGTCTAAGAACTCTTTTCATTTTCTTTTTTTCTTTAGTTCAAATTCAGGTTGTTTCGGTTTAGTTTTAGTTTTTTTTTTTTCGTTCGGTTCCACTTTTATGTATTTTAATATTCGTGTTCACAGTTGAGCTAAACCCGCTCAATTATATTAGTCATCTTTCGTCAAATTAGACTAAATTTTACGACGAATAGTTTCAATTTGTCAAATAGTTTTACAGTGGAGATTAGTTTCCCTATGGTGAATAGTTCTAAACAGTATTTAGTTTCCTTTTTGAATCACGGATAGTTATCTTTGGGGTTTAGGGTTTAAGGGGGTGAGGTCGTGCAACAAATATAATTATGTTTATTTGATTTTTTAAGGGGCGGATTGTTCTTAATATTTTGTTGTGTTTTCAGGATTTGTAGAAACTTCGATAGGAAGGTGACAATTTGTAACCATGGTTGGATCATATTTTAAGGAGGAATAATTCTAGTATGTACCAGCGCGATGCAGCGGGCGGCTAATAGTTCCATTTTGATGATTAGGTTTTTTTTTGGACGTCGAATAGTTTGCTTTCGACTTATTTTGGATAGTCTCGGTTGCTCTTTTTCTATACTCATCTTTTTCTTGGATCTTTTTTCTGACATCTCTTTTTTCTTGGTTTCGTTTCTAGCGAGTTTGGTTTACCGGTCTTTTTCTTCTTCCTAGTCATCTTCTTGGCTTTTGATTTATAAGTTTTTATACTTTACGGCTATTAATTTGACATAACTTGTACTTTTCTTCTTATATACCTTATTAGCTTGATATAGCTTTTTTTCTTTTTGTGCAGCTTACGACATCTTCTTACGCTGCATAGAGCTTCTAGAGAGGTTTCTAAAAAGTATGTGACTATTTCTCATATTTTTTGTTTTATTACCAATAAGATACTTAAGTATATACTTAAGTTTTTTCTTTGGATATATGCTTTATACTTAAGTTTTTTCTTTAGATATATGTTTTAATAGATATAACATATAAATATACAGCCTTGTAACGTAATTTAATGTTTTTACAAATATGACATAATTCACGATCTTTTTTTCATACGATTAACTGGATAAAACGATTTTTATTTTTATTTTTTACTTCTAATGTTTAGAGTTTAGACATTAAAAAAATATATATTTGTTTAATTTTATACAGTTTCAAATATTTCTATGTCTAACTTAATTATTTTAATTATATGTAGTTAGAATGCTACTATTAATCGACTTTAAGGGCTATTTTAAAAACAACTTAATGATTTTTTATTGATTCCCTATAAAACGAATGATTTTTATTGATTCCCTATAAAACCAATTAATAAAGTTGAAATGATATTTACATAACAAATAAACAAAAACCAAAATGCAATTACAACCACATTCCATTAAATAAATGATAATGAATCTATCATTTCATGAGTTCCAAGTATCATTATAACAGCTTGAGCTGCAAACCTACAAACACAAAGAAAAAACAGTTTCTTTAATATTATGTTACAAATATAATAAACAAATACACAGCCACAAAAGTAGAGGATGCTACTTCCACAAACCCACATACTCACAACAAAAGAACATGAAAAGTTGGAAACTATATTCAAAATCTGTCCTCCAGAATAGATTTAAAATCTGATTTTTATAACTTACATAATGGATTCAAAACCTTATATAATTTTCACATACAAACACCCACAACACATACTTCCTTTCACCACATCATGAATATTTACAACAATAGCTAATATTATTTATAACAAAGCAAAAATTTTAACAAATTGATAAAATAACTCAAATAAATAAACAATCTATTTACATGAAGCAAAAATAATTCAAAACCAAAGAAGAAGCATTTTGAATTTTGATCATTCCGAATCTAAAAAACGATTTCAAACATATTTACAACCACTAATCAACCTAATTAAACTTTTACATACTACATATCCTAAAAATAAACCCAAGAACTAAATACTTCATGTAACGTGACTGAAATTTATATTAATCGTGGATGGGTTCTCAGGTCCAAGCCAATTTGAGGTCCGAGGCAAAAAAATAAATGAGGCCCTTGTAGAGGTGTTATTTGATCGGTTTAATCAATATTTGGTTTTTTAAAGTTTAATTGATGTCGAGTTGTTCGGTTCGGTTTATCGGATAAACCATATTATAATAATATATTAATATTATGTTCAACGTCGTTTGTTTTTTACAATAATACATTAATAAGTGTAGATAATAATACCAATACAAGAATATGATCACTTTTTAATTTTGTAAACAAAGGTCCAAAAATCGGAACAGAATAAATAAAAAATATATTGCAAGCCATCAACTACAACCTACACAAAATATACTATTTTTCTATGTTTGCTCTTTGCAAAAAGTCAAGAACAAATTAACACCAGGAAGCATAAACT